ACTGCTTTTGTGCTCCAGGGTCACAAATAAAGAATTATACAAAAATACCCTTTACTTGCTAAAAAAGCAGAGGACAGAAGGTATGTAGTAGATGGTGTGCAACAGGTTTTTCAGCAAAGTTTTGATCATGCTGGTAATTTAAAGGCCTTTGAAATTCATAGGCTTTATGGGGTAAACCATTATAATGGACTATGAAAATTGATTAATTAAGCCATTCACACATTGATCTGTACAGTAACAGTATTTTTTCCCTGCTTGTCCTCCTGTCACCAAGGTTCCAGAACTAGATCACGTTACTATCAGGAAGCTCAGTCACATGACACTTTGCTCATGACTCTCATAACCTGCACAGCATCCACATTTCTTCACTTTCCTTGCGTCTTCAAAAACACTTCCACTTTTAAATCAGATGATATCCCAGAGTGCCCGCTGCATGTGAAAGATTTGCCAAGCTCATCAAGACTGAGACATGTGTCAGCCTCCTGGCTGTTCAGTCTATAGCCACTAATGCTGACGTCTGGCTCTTTCGGTATAACGAGCTGGCAAAAAGCCTTTTACTATAGAAGTGCTGGACACGGGAGACAGAACAAAGAATGGCACAAACACGTATACAAACGCTCACCATCCAGTCTACATGCTTGCACGAACACTGATTCCCCAGAGCCAGACTGACTCATATTTCATTTTTTAGGATTTGTATTTCCTCCTAATGCGCTGGTGAACCTCGACACAATGAAGTCAGATATACCATACGAAAAGGTAGGTTAATTTAATCTTAATTTAAATGATTTAGAATTGATTGTGATTCTTATATGCTCCTTAAATTCACTTATTGTTTAAGAGTTATCCAGTGGTTTTAATTTATAAATGTATGTGCATTTTAAGATGCTATGTTTGATTAACTACAATTCTTTTTGTTTTCATGTCTTGATCAAGATGGTTGATGTGGAGCTAAGCAGAGGAGAAACACATCTTGGCTCACAAAAGGTATTAAAGGGGTCATATGATGCAATTTCAATTTTTCCTTTCTCT